ATTTAAGATTCTCTACATGAACAGGATTTGTAGAATGAATCTCACCATGTATGTAAAAAGTAGGCTTATTAAAATGTCTCACAAGCTATTGTCCAGGTAACTTAAGAAAAACTGCCTACCAATGGCAATTGAAGAATCCAATAGCTTGCTTCTCAGCCTTTTGTCTAAGGTCAGGTGAAGATTCTAGTAGTTGTTCTGCCCCCAAGGCTCTGTGACTCAGCTGGTTTTAAGTATTCATCAAAATTACAATGCAGTAGGCTCTAATGCTAGTAAAGGAATGAGCTTGGTAGCCAGAGCTAGAGCACGGAGGCAAAACAGAGACTTTTCTTCTTCTTCAAAATACTTTATATGTGACTGCTGCTACCAGAATGGGAGATGCTGATTAAAGTTGGGTCATAGTCTTTGTTGGATTCAGGTTCGTTTTTATTTTTTTGGTGATTTCAAGACAGGATTTTTCTGTGTAGTTGTAGAACTCATTCTGTAGGCCAGACTGGTCTCAAATTTAGAAAATCCCACTGCTCATGAGTGATGGTGTTAAAACTGCACACAGACATGAGTGAGAGAGATAGCTCACTGGTTAAGTGTGCACAAACACCAAGCAGCTTAATGTGGATCCTATCATCTCAAACTATACACATTAAAGGAATATTTTCCCATTTCAAACCTTTAAGTAAAATCTCCTCAGGTATAATCAATTCTTTGTGTAGTCAATTTTAACTGCCAAAAATAGCCAGACATTTCAACAGCCAAGACAGATGAAATGAGAAAAAATTCTTGCCTGTAGGAGGCATAAAGAATGTTTATAAAGTTGTTTTCAAAATTGTTTTTCCTCAACGAATGAAGCATGGAGATTTTACGTAGGGAGTCTGAACATGCTCATGCAATGTTCTCCCTTTCCTTAAGCATGCTCAATTAACAAATCCACTTTAATGATAATCACAATGTAAAAGCAAAGACATTTAGTGACATTCTTTCCTCAAAATCATGTAGGAACAATTGTAAATTAAACAAATGATGGAAAGAAATGCCTCTGGCATGTTCATACTGTACCATAAGGTTTTAGTTGAAATTCAAGTGGATGACACTGTGAAAAGTCAATTATCAATTTTGATTCTTATTCTAAAAGATAACTTTACCAACACCATAAAAAGTACCTTCAGTTCATCTGATCTCAGCATGAAGCCACAGCACAAACTTCTCCATTTATTACCTTAAAATTCTCTTTAGCTGTTAATAATATTCTGAGCATTCTTTCCACCGTGGGACAGGAAATCACTGCACCCACCTAGCACAGCACAGTACACTGTACAAGCTAGCTAGCCACATTGTGTCCTGGAAGAAAAAGGGAAAGTTCCTATGGAGTGCAAGATTATGACAGTGTCTACTTTTGGAAGCCAGGGATAAGTGTTATGAAATACATATCTTGGCCCTTCTAGAAAAGATGTTTGACTGGGGTGGGAGCAATGGCCAGGAACCACTGTGCTGTGTCTTTAAGCACACTATAGCCCTGTGGACAGTGTTTTTTTTTTCATTCAGACCGAATTAGCTAATCAGGCCCTTTAAGTCATGCAGGCCTCTTCTGGGCAGACATGTTCAGACTCAGCTTTGCAGAGGAGCTGCCTTCAGTGGTTTTTTATGCTGCAGTGTAATTGTTGCTGCTGGGAGTTGAAGAACTGAGAGGTTTGACCAGCTGGGAAACAGCAACATTGTGAGCAAGGGAATGTTGTCTCCAGATGGGGAGGAACAGAGGATGTGGTATAAAGTTCCAGTTTTCTATTTGAGAAAAGCACAGTTCTTTCAAATGGGCAATATGACACCAGGTGACATATAATTGAAATGCAAAACATTGTTGTCTGGAGGAGTTACCTGATCAATCAAGGCTTTTTTTTTATGCCCTCTTGAGGAAGGAAGAACAATCTTGGGAGACCTAGTAATAGATTGGTGCCTAAGCCTTTTGAGTTTCCCTAGGGATCTGATCTACTGATAATAAAACAAAGCTCCTTCTCTAAAACCAGAAATATGCTTAGGGGAGCTGGTAATGGTCTGGTGACAAGGCCTTTGTGGAGGGGTTGCTTCAGATTCTAAGAACCCAACTCTTCCCACCATATGGAGATTTAGTTATCAGTCCCATGGCCACTCTGCTCATAGTAAAGTTCTTGAGATACCCTGTGTTCTCATTGTATAGATTTGTTTGAGTAGTCTCCTCCTAAATTCATGTGATAATTTGTACTTATAATTCTCTAATATCTTTCATTTCTCCCTTGGAATTATACAAGATGCTATTCTCCTTTTAAAAAATTTTTTGAGACAAGGTTTGTCTCTAGGAGTGTCCTGACTATTCTGGAACTCACTGGGTAAATCAGGCTGTCCTTGAACTCAAAGAGATCACTTGGCGCAGCAAGGGTGTGTGCCATCAATGCCCAGCAAGATGCAGTTTTTCCTAGGAAGTTTACTAGGCATCTGCAAGACTTCCCTACCCTAGGATTGGAGTCACCATTATGAAAATGTTCCTGGCTGAGCAGAGTTGGCATAGGCCTTTAATCCCAGCACTAGGGAGGCAAAGGCTGGCTGTAAGTTCAAGGCCAGCCTGGTCTACAGGAGCTAGTTCCAGGAAAGGCAATTAGGCAACAATTCTATGCAGACATGGTTGATCTTGCTTGACACAGTCATGTCAGCTCAGAGATTTGAGAAACAGGCCATTGACTAACTTTATGTGTCAGGTTACAGATCTCAGTAGCCAACATATGTATATAGAAACCATTAATCTATCTCTTATTAGTGACATTCCCTCTCCTATAGAAAGGCCAACTCTGTTTCAAAGTCAATATAGAAAGTTTTATTTAATCTCAAGAGTGCAATATTTTTATCATTTTAAAATCTTATTGGTGTAATTTTCAGATATTTTTTTAAGTGTATTGCTCCTCTTGTCTCTGTTTCTGTCCTCCAATGTTTCAAGTCATTAATAGTTGCATTTTATTTCTCTCAAGTGATGTTAATTATTGATTTCTTTGTCTCTTATAGTTTAGGCTTGCCTCATACTATATAATTGAGAATCATTTTGAACACCTAATCCTGCCTCTGCTGCCCAGTGCTGGGAAAACAGTCCTGCAACTTCTTACAGGTTTGGCATTGACTTGTCAATGAAGAAGAAATGTAGAGTAGTTACTGAGTGTCTGCTGATCTTTCTGGCCTTTATTGGGGACTTAGAAGAAGAGAGACCTGTGCAAGAGTTGAGGTCATTGACCAACATGAAGCTGGTGGAGACACAGTTCAGAAAGGGAGAAGTTGTACTGAGGGCGAAAGCTTTCCTCCTTCAACAGTAGTTGAAATTAGCATTGTGGAATCAGGTAGTCAATTGTAGATGTTTCATGAATGTCCAGATTGACCATTGTTTGCAGTCCACAGACCAAGGCAATCAAGAATCTGGGAAAGAAACTGACCTTATCTTTAAACCTAATTGCTATATTTAAAGTAGCTCATCTAAAATACAAAATCTGGGGGAAATGTTGTGGCCCTGCTTAACAGGACTGTTACCTTTCTGCATTAAGTTGTTCATCTTTAGAGAAAATACATGAGAAATATTTAATGTGCTCTAACACAAATCCCTAGTCTCTGGAGCACATGGCCATAAAGTCTATTTCAAGTTTTCAAAATAATTTTAGAGATGAAATCCACATTATATTTACATTCTCCTTGTTGCCTCCAAACCCAAATATGCCTGGATTGTTTTCTAATTTATGGTGTGTTTTTCTTTAACAACAGTTACAAAGTAACCACAGATGCACAATAACAATAGTTACTTTATGAATGTGACCTGTGTTTGTCTTCAGGATTTCCCATCTCTGAGCCAATGGGATGGCTGCACTGGGAAGTAAGTGTACAATGGAATGTGCACACAAAGGACCCTGTACTTTGGATGTGGGATAGGATGTGATCTAGGGGAGTAGAATAATGTGTACTAAATACAAAGTTTTTAAACTGGGGCCCTGTCTGCTGGGCTGGGAGGGAAGAACTGGATGGATTGTGCTGTCTGAGTCATTTGGTCTCTGATCCTCCAGTAGAGAAGCTGTTAATATTGTGAGTCCCAGCTGGGTGGCCCTAGCCAATGAGGGATTCTGGAAAGTCTTAGCAATCAAGAGTACTAATGGGAGAAAATGGTTAATTTGGCTTATATTGCCATATTGTCGTTCACTACTAAAGGATGTCAGGAAAGGAACTTAAAGAGGGCAGGATTCTTAATAAATTTTTGTATGTTGAACCATTCTTGCATCTCTGAGATGAATCTGACTTCATCATGGTAGATGATTTTTTGATGTGTTCTTAGATTTTAGCTAGTATTTTATTGAGTATTTTTGCATCTATGCTCATCAGGGAGATGGGTCTGTAATTTTCTTTTTTGGTTGAATCTTTGCATGGTTTTAGTAGAGGTGTAACTGTACCATCATTAAAGGGGTTTGGCAATGTTCCTTCTCTTTCTATTATGTGGAACCCTTTGAGGAGTATTGTTATTGGGTCTTAGTTCTGATGGAATTCTGCCCTGACACTCTCTGGCCCTGGGCTTTTTTTTTTTTTTTTTGGTTGGAATGACTTCCCTTTCCTTGCAGGTTATAGGTTGATTTAAATTATTCACCTGATCTTGATTTAATTATGGTATGTGATACCTATTCAGAAAATTGTTCATTTCTTTTTTTCTCAAAACCATTGATTTACTATAATACAAATAAGGAAATCTTAACATTGATATACAAAGATTACAATTTGACCAAAGAATTTCTTCTTTACTACACAAAACATGATCCAGCAGTAAAAACAAACCATTTTCCTTTTTCCAGTAAAACAAATGATATAGTTTTGGTAATAAAATAATTTTGAATATAGCCCAACTATATTTACCTATTATCCAGTCAGAAAGTCTTATCATAATTTAGTGGATTGGTTGTATCTCCACTAACAAAATATTTAACCCCTAAAGCAGCAGTCATTTATAGCAACTCTGGTACCAACATCAAAGGTGTTCGGTCCTTCCGAGCTTCCCGGGATCGATTCCTGACTACCTTGCTATGAATAGCACAGCTCACACAATAATGCAGCTTGACATAGAGTTTGGGGAGCACATAGGCATCGAAGACACTTGCTTCAGACATGTCCCTGATGGCAGCCACCTCTACGATGTTCTGAATGATGAACTTCTTAATGGCCTTGTCCTTGGGCACACAGCGGGCTCAGTTAGTGCAGCGAACTGGCTGCACATGGCTGCGGCCCTTTTTGGCACGACCGTTGTTTCTCCTTTTTTTGGTCATCTTGGAGCCAAGTCCCGAAAGAGGCTAAAATGGCTCTCTTAATGAGGATATCTTCTTCCCTGCCCCTATATCCACCCTTCCTTCATCTCAACCCTCCCACTCCACCAAGCTCTCCTCAAACCTTCCCTTCTCCCTTCTCTCTCCCACTCTTCCTTTCCCCCATCCCACCCTCACCCCCACCCCCATGCTCCCAACTTTTGCCTGGCAATTTTGTCTGCTTCCGATTTCCAGGAGGATCTACGTATGATTTTCTTTGGGTTCAAGTTATTATTTTGCTTCTCTAAGCTTGTAAACTATAGGCTCAATGTCCTTTGTTGATGGCTAGAGTCTACTAATGAGTGAGTACATACCATATTCATCCTTTTGGGTCTGGGTTATCTCACTCGGGATAGTATTTTTTTTTTGGTTTTTTTTGAGACAGGGTTTCTCTGTGGCTTTGGAGCCTGTTCTGGAACTAGCTATGTAGACCAGGCTGGTCTCGAATTCACAGAGATCGGCCTGCCTCTGCCTCCCGAGTGCTGGGATTAAAGGCGTGCGCCACCATCGCCCGGCGGGATAGTATTTTCTATTTCCATCCATTTGCATGCAGAATTCAAGGTGTTATTTTTTTTTTACCACTGCGTAGTACTCTAATGTGTATATGTTCCACACTGTCTTTATCCATTCTTCCATTGAGGGGCATCTAGGTTGTTTCCAGGTTCTGGCTAATACAAATAATGCTGCTATGAACATAGTTGAACAAATGTTTTTGTAGTATGCTTGGGTATATTTCCAAGAGTAGTATTGCTGGATCCTGAGGTAGGTTGACTCACAATTTCCTGAGAAACTGCCACACTTATTTCCGAAGTGGTTTCACAAGTTTGCATACTTAGCAGCAATGGATGAGTGTTCCCCTTACTCCACATCCTCTCCAGCATAGGCTATCATTGGTGATTTTGATTTTAGCCTTTCTGACAGTTGTAAGATGGTATCTCAAAGTTGTTTTGATTTGCATTTTCCTGATTGCCAAAGAAGTTGAATATGACCTTAAGTATCTTTTGATCATTTGAGCTTCTTTTGTTGAAAATTCTGTGTCTGTTCAGTACTCCATTTTTTAATTGGGTTATTTAGAATTTTAAAGTCTAGTTTCTTGAGTTCTTTATATATTTTGGAGATCAGACCTTTGTCTGATGTGGGGTTGGTGAAGATCTTCTCCCATTCATCAAGATTCCTTTTTGATTTAATGACAGTGTCCTTTGCTTTACAGAAGCTTCTCAGTTTCAGGAAGTCCTATTTATTCATCATTGCTCTTGTTGTCTGTGCTATTGGGGTTTTACATAGGAAGTGGTCTCCTGTGCCCATGTGTTGCAGTCTACGTCCCACTTTCTCTTCTATAAGTTTCAGTGTGGTAAGGTTTATATTTATGTCTTTAATCCATTTGGACTTGAGATTTCTACATGGTGATAGATATGAATCTATTTTCATTATTCTACAGGTTGAAATCCAGTTATGCCTGTACCATTTGTTAAAGGTGATTTCTTTCTTCCATTGTATGCTTTTAGCTCCTTTGTCAAAAATCAGGTGTTCATAGGTTTGTGGGTTAATATCCAGGTCTTTGATTTGACTCCATTGTTCAACATCTCTGTTCCTATGCCAATACCAAGCTGTTTTCTTTACTGTAGCTCTGTGATAGATTTTGAAGTCAGGGATGGTAATGCCTCCAGAAGGACCTTTATTGTGCAGGATTGTTTTGTCTATCCTGGGTTTTTTGTATTTCTATATAAAGTTGATTATTTTTCTCTCAAGGTCTGTGAAGAATTTTGTTGGGATTTTGATGGGGATTGCATTGAATCTATAGAGTGCTTTTGTTAGAATTGCCATTTTTATTATGTTGATTCTTCCAATTTAAGAGCATGGAAGATCCTTCCATTTTCTGGTGGCCTCTTCAATTTCTTTTTTCAAAGCCTTAACCTTCTTGTCAAATAGATCTTTCACTTCCTTGGTTAGTGTTACCCCAAGATATTTAATGCTATTTGTGGCTATTGTGAAAGGTGAAGTTTTTCTGATTTCCCTCTCTGCTTCTCTATCCTTTGTGTATAGGAGGGCTACTGATTTTCTGGAGTTGATCTCGTATCCTTCCAAATCATTGAAGGTGTTCATCAGCTGTATTAGTTCTTTGGTAGAGTTTTTGGGTCATTGATGTACACTATCATATCATCTGCAAATAATGAAAATTTGACTTCTTTTTTTCCAATTCGAATCCCATTGATGTCCTTATGTTATCTTATTGCTATTGCTAGATCTTCAAACATTACATTGAAGAGATATTGAGAGAGTGGCCAGCCTTGTCTTGTTCCTGATTTTAATGGAATGGCTTTGAGTTTCTCTCCATTTAATTTGAATTTAGCGGTCGGCTTGCTGTGTATTGCTTTTATTATATTTTGGTATGTTCGTTGTATCCCTATCCGCTCTAAGACATTTATCATAAAGGGGTTTTTTATTTTATCAAATAATTTTTCAGGATCTAATGAAATGATCGTATGGTTTTTTTCTTTCAGTTTATTTATATGATGGATTACATTGATAGATATTTTTGTGTTGATCCAGCCCTGCATAACTGGGATAAAGCCTACTTGATCATAATGGATAATTATTTTGATGTGTTCTTGGATTCAGTTTGCCAGTATTTTATTGATAATTTTTGCATCGATGTTCATGAGTGAGATTGGTCTGTAATTCTCTTTCTTGGTTGAGTCTCTGTGTGGTTTTGGTATCAGGGTAACTGTAGTTTCATAAAAAGAGTTTGGCAATTACTCTTCTGTTTCTATTATATGAAACATATTAAGAAGTATAGGTATCAGCTCTTCTTGGAAATTCTGGTAAAATTCTGCATTAAAACCACGTGGTTCTGGGCTTTTTTTTGGGTAGGGAGGTTTTTTATGACATCTATTTCCTTACAACTTATAGGTCTATTTAAATTGTTCACCTGGTCTTCATTTAATTTTGGTATATAGTACTTATCTTTAAAGGGTCCATTTCTTTTACATTTTCCAACTTTGTGGCATACAGGCTTTTGTAGTATGTCCTAATATTCTCTGAATTTCCTCAGTGTCTGTTGTTATGTTCCTTTTTTCATTTTTGATTTTGTTAATTTGTTTGTTCTCTGTCTGCCTTTTTATTAGTTTGGACAGGGGCTTGTCAATTTGTTGATTTTTTTCAAAGAACCAGCTGTTTGTTTTTTTTAAAGCAATTATGAGTTTCAATTTTTAAATTTCAATTCTTTTAAATTCATCCTTACCCTATTTCTGTTTCCCATTGTTTCCAGGTCAATAAGAATTTCTTTCTTCTTTTCTCAAGTATGTTGATTGTTTATTTCTGTTTCGAGCAATGTCTTCTGTAGATTAGGCTTGCCTTACACTATGTAGTTAATAATTCCATTGAACTCATAATCCTGCTTCTTCTGCCCAGTGCCAGAAAAAAAATCTTGCTACTGCTTCAAGGCTAGGCCTTAGCTGGGCAGTGAGAAGAAATAATAGACCAGTAGATCCCGTGTAAGAATTGAGTTCAATGGTCAAATTTAAAGCATATGTTGTCCCAGTTTAAAAGGGCATAGACATGAAGGAGCATAAAAACTCCCCTGTTTTGAAAGTAGTGCATATTAGAAATATGTAGTTACATTGATTGAAGTGTGATCATAATTAGTATTATTAATAAATTTCCAGATTCAGATATTGGGGTAAAACTGACAGAACACAGATGAAACCAAGCAGCTACATTAAAATTATGCAGTTAACTTGTTTGATTGAAGCATGATCCTAATTAGTATTATTAATAAAATTCCTGAGTCAGATATTGGGTAAAAGCTGTCAGAACAGAGAAGCAATCCAACAGCCACATTCACTTTTTAGATCTCTAAACTTTTGGATCTAATGAGGGAAGAGATCCCGTCCCCACCCATCTTAAATTCTTGTCCTCATCTCCCAAATGCTGGAATTAAAGGCATGAGCCACTTACTGCCTAAACCTCTGGTTCACTAGTGGTTACCCCCCACTTCTTATCTCCAGAGAAGCTTTATTTGTTGGAATAAACATGAAATATCATGGAGTAATTGATAAATGTCCTGACTGGTCACTTCTCACATCCACAGACCAGGAAATCTAGAATCTGGATTAAGAAGGGAACTTAATATGGAACCCAATTACAGATAATACACTAGTTTGAACAAAATATAACTGGATAAAATGGTATGGCAGTGCCTAAAAGAACTGGTATTTTACAGGTTTAAGATGAACATTCTGAGAGAAAATGACTGAAACTTGGTGTGCTCTATTATAAATGTTTTGACTCTGGACTATATGGCCATAAAGTCTATTTCAACTTTTTAAAATAATTTTTGAGGATAACAATTCCTTAATTTCCTTCTTTATTCTTCTTCTAAGCCTTTCCATAGACTCTTCATTGTTTTCAAATTCATGGCTTCTTTTTGCTTTAACAGCAGTTAATGTGACCTTTGTTTGGCAGCAGAATTTATAAGTTGTGATACCTCTACCTGTCTTCAAAGGACATCAAGTCTGTAATGAAAAATGCACACAAGGAAAACTGTATCTTGGAGGAGGAACAGGAAGTGCACTGAGAGACTGGAAGAGTTCCTACTAAAATACATATTTTATTGATGAGAGTCTTTCCCTAGGGTGGAAGGTCATAGCTGCGAAGGCCTATACAATCTAATCTTTAATCTCTGCTCATCTAGTAGGGGGGCTGCTATTATCCCGAGGCCCAGCTGGGTGATTCTACAGGGCAACATTGGGAGGTAGATTTTTGAATTTTTCTTGATTTCTTCTCTTATGATGCTCTGGGCAAAAGTG